GGGGGGGGGGGCGGGATTGTGGCACGCTGGCCGCCGTCCTGGGATCGGCAAGGCACTGAACCAATGCCCCGCTGAGCACTCCAGAGCAGAAAGCCAGCCTGAGCTGTATTGGGATTTTAAAGCGGTGAAATTGATTACCTTTTTTCTTTGAGCAGGTAGAGGGGAAATCCTTGTCTTCAACCTTTACCGAAGGCCTGTTACACTTCATCCTACAGAAGAAAGAACGTCGTGCTCCAGAACATAATCGAGACGGCCCAGGGGTTATATCTGTCTTAACTGGAAGTCCAGCTGCAAATCAATACACAAAATGTGATAAACCGAGAGTAGTATTGTCTGTCAGGAGGGGGAGTGTGACCTGGAAGAAAGCCTCTTCTTTCCTGCCTCACTGTTTTAGGTGATGGGAGAGTAACATTCCTCAGGACAGTTCAGGCCTAACGAGACGTGTGGGTAAGTGCGGGTCAACTGAAGTGTTTCCAGATCCCCCAGAATGCAGCCACTGGACAAGTGGAGTTGCTCTGGGGACGAAAAGAAGTCTAGCATGGGGCTCCCGTCTGGCAGGAGCTTCCGACGGAGAAGGGAAACGCAAGTTCCCCATGGAAAGAGGAATCATGCCAGGTGATGTAGGATTAGTGCCAAATCAATGGCAGAGACGGTATGTGTTTTCCAGAGAGGGAGCTTGGGCTGGCACTGGAAGGATGGGGAAGATGTGGACACTGGAGTGGGAAAGAGGACGCAGAACGGCCTCAAATTCTCAAGCCTGGCTATATGCCAGAGGCCCCTGGGGGGTTAATCAACATAGGCTCCGGGACCCCGGTCTAGATCTGGCTACTGAACACGCGCAATGTGGCTATTCTTTAAGTGTGAATATACACAGGCGTTCAAAGACTATACAAAATAAAAAGGCCTCGTTTCGAGTTACTGGGTTAAATTTTAAATCACACGTGTGGCTTATACATGGGGTTTGCTCATGTCTCCACTGGCCTATGCTGTTGTGCACCAACTGAACTGGTCTTTGGAGGGGGGAGCAGGACTACGATGCTGCCACGACCGCCGGCTACTTGTCCCCAGAACGCGTCTGGGGAAAACGAGCCACCGCTAGAAGAGGGGCCACCAGGGCTCCCCCTGGGTCTGCCCCCTCCCCCCGCACCTCCCACAGGGCCGCCCTGCCCTGTGATCTCCTCCCGAATGCACACAGCCCGGCCCGCCCCTGCTCCTTTCGCTCCACAGCGGGAGCCACACCTCTGTATCCATCCAGAAACGTTTGCCCTGCTCTGTTCCTCTCTTCACCGGGCACGCAGTAATTCATCCTTTCAAACCCACCTCAGTCGTCACCTACTCGGGGCTGCCTGTCCTCACGCCCACACGAGAATGAATCATCTGTTCCCCAGGCCTGCTACTCCTTCCACAGCGGTACCTGTGCTGCAGGCTGCCGTCTACCTTCTCCTCTCCCTGACTCTATGGTAGGAGCCTTAAAGGCAAGGACCAAACGTCATCATCTTCTTCTCCTCACGTCACTAAAAAATTTGCCAGGCCAGACAGGTAGCAGGGGCTGCGCCGAGCTCTTAGGAAGACGACCGCCTTAGTGCCAAGGATGGTTTAAAGATTCCTCTGGAGGTGTCACCCTCCGCGAACGGAAGTGGAGAGTGTGGAAGCAGGAAAGTGGTCGGGCCTGACCGCGCCGACCCACAACATCGCAACACTGACACTGGGCCCGCTACGTGCCAGGAACTGCCCCACAGGCTTTATGCACGTTCGTGTATTTAATCCTCACAACATCCCGATGAAACAGGTACTATTTTGTAGATCAGGAAGCTGAGGCACAGAGAGGTGAAGTAACTTGCTCATGGTCACACAGCTTGGGAAATGGTGGAGCCAGGAAGTGAGCTTGGCACTGTGATTCCAGACTCCATCCTCTTAACTGCTAGAGTCTGCGGCCTCCCACGAGACTGAGACTGACGGGAGGAGAGCTACCGGGCAGGCCTCACACCGGAGGCCCAGGAGGGCTACGGGAGGGGGAAGCTAGGGGAGGATGGGAGCGGTGGTTCCACTGCTGCAAGAAGGAAGCCGGGGCGGGGCGCGCAACTGATGAGGAGCAACCACTTTGGTCAAAGAATCTTCGATTTAAATGTCAAATTTTATCTCAAGAGGCTGCAGATGCGTAACTCAGGTAAATAGAGGTGATGTTTCCGGGGGGAACAAACTGCACTGGTGTGAGCCCTTTAAACTCAGAAGCATACAGTTGTGAACTTCTAGATTCTTGGGGGGGAAACGACTGAAAATCAGAAAGAATCAAAGCAGCTATTGTTCCTCTCGGTGAATTGGGACGCTGAGTTGTTTCTCTTTTATGTACGTGCAACAAAACCAAAACAAACACGAAGGAATGTAGATAAGTGCATTTAGCCAGAGACCCAGATAAAGGGCAAAGGAGGGGGGCCAGAGGCCGAGACCACGGGGCACATGCTGCGGCCTGAGTGGCCCCAGGAAGCAGCCGCAGCCTCTCCGGTACTCACTTTTTGCATCTATGAGCCGCTCCCGGGGCGCCGTGTCCGAGGAGGAGAGCTGCTCCTTCACTTTGGCGATATCTTTAGGGTGCAGGTAGTCAAACAAACTCTGGCCAATCAGATCGTTCTGCGGGGAGGAAGCATGAAACCGGCAAGTCAACAGCACGTGGTGTAGAACTTCCCCAACCAGTGCCGTGCCTTTATTTTGCATTTCTAAGCGTGAGAGTTTCAAGCATTTCAAATGTGAGCACGTACACGTGTCCAATCGCTTTGCCTAGGTATAGACACAGGGAATGAGGCACCGGGAGTTTGGTTGTGATAACGCAGGAGCAGAGAAGGGCTTACTTATATTTGTAATTATATAAATAGCTCATGCTCCTCCAAGGCAGGAATCTTTCAGCGGAACGCGTTCCCCGCGATTTCTTTTTTTTTTTTTTTTTTTTTTTTTTTTTTTTTTATTTATATGTGAAATTTATTGTCAAATTGGTTTCCATACAACACCCAGTGCTCATCCCAAAAGGTGCCCTCCTCAATACCCATCACCCAGCCTCTCCTCCCTCCCACCCCCCACCCCGCGATTTATTTCTGAGGCCCACGAATGCCCGTGCAGGAACACAGGGCGTGGGTGCTAATTCTAAGCCTTTCCGTTCTGAAACAAGCTGTGTCAGACTATGTGCCGCGACAGCCTCATTCTTTGCAGAGAGGATAAAAACTTCCTTCGTCACTATTCTCTGAGACCAAAAAGAGCAAGACACTCTGGGGGACCTGAAACATTAATTTCTAATTTATGTGTTATTTTCATTCTTCAGTTACCAGCTTTCCACGCAAACACCAGCATGTGAATGAGTGAGTGGGTGAACAGACGAATGGGTGGGGGAATAAGAACTCCAGGGACAGAAGAGATGAAAAGCACTGCTCTAGAAACTTTCGTAAATGTTTATCTTATCTGATCCAAAGAACAAATCATAAAAGGTAGGGGTTATTACAATCATTTTCTCTTAGGGGAAGCCAAGGTTAAGCAGAATGAAAAAAGGGACACCTCATCACACACACAGTGTGGGTGGATTCCCATTTTTTTTATCCTCTGGTATTAGATTATCTGCCTTTCCTTGCTGGGCAGCCCCTCCCCCACTCCCTGCCCCCTTTAGTTACGGGATATTCATTTCATCCCAATAAAGCATAAAGCTGCTGGGGAGATCAGCGTCAAACCCGCCAGTGAGGGAAGCACGGAAATCCTAAAAGCTTTTTCTACATTTAAATTCATTTCTCGGTGAAGAAATTAAGAACTTTCTGGAAGAAGCCTCGGGCTTGGGGGTTACAATACAAGCATTTTACACGACTTGTATATTCTAATTATTCTGGAAAGGGGGGGTGACCTCTCTGGCGGCTGTGAGGCTGCCTGCCACCTACAGACCCCGGAGCAGTACCTGGCTGTAGTTGAGGATCTTGAAGACAGACTCTGAGACAAAGAGTATCTTCCCTCGGTCACATCCTACGACAAACAAAAATCCATCTGCTGCCTAATCAGGAGAAATGGATAATCAATTTATCACACTTTAGGAAACACGGTCTGTAATCACTCTGATCGCAAATAAGGATTTCTTTGGTACGTAACCAAAGCACGGAACTGCGCTCATCGACCGTAAAATTCTCTCCACGGCAGACATATCTCATCTAATGACTACAAGGGGACAGTCCAGCTGAAGTCACTTTAAGAATTCTCCTTGGAGAATATGAAGGTCCGGCGAAGTCCTATTTTATTGCTTTAATTGTAACGGTCTGTGCAGAATCACAGACTCTAGGATTGGAAGGAAACTTTAAGATCAAAATCCCCTCTCCAACAACCTGGCCACCATCTGTCCTCAACTTGGACACTTCCACTTACAGAGCGCTGTCTCAACATTTGGGGTGGTGTGCGGTTTGTTGGTGGTTTTTATGCTGCGGGTCTGGGGAGGCGCTGGGTAACTAGCATTGTTTTTACCCCCACCCCCAAAGGATTCCAACGTACACAGGGTTGAGAACTGCTGCTCTCAAACATCATTCCTCCATCCAGGGCCGGGCTGCTTATATCCCGAGAGAGACAAAAAAGCAAAGCCAAAATTTCCCTCCTACATTCTTTTTACCTCTTCTTTACTTTGAATACAGGTAAAAATCTGAAGTCCCAGTGAAGGCAGGTATGGAGACAAGATGCTGTTTATTGGACTGAAGTGGATAAATACCAAAGTGTCCGAGAGCTCAGGCTCCATGGTGTACCCGTGTGTGAATCCTACCCACGAGTCTGCAGCTGGACAACTACCCAGCTCCCACAGGGCTCCCCCCACCCCCACCCCGGGCTGGGGAGGCCACATACCCGCTCCTGTGCTCGCCCCTACAGTTCTGATTCAACATCTTGCTTCGTTCACTAGTCCTTGGTCTGTTCTTTGGCCAACCCTAGAGAAACTCTAGTCCCTGTTCCACAGAAGGGCCTTTGGGGATGCAACGGAGTTCAAAGAACTCAGAAATGAATTCATGTGCCAGAGGCCCAATAATGGCACATGCACCTGCGCGGAGACGCAAGCAGGAGGGGCCGAATCGCTGCGGCTGAGAACGAGGGAGGCCGCTCAGCCGGACAGGAGCTGCGGGTGGGCTTTGCCTGAGCTGGCCCTCGGTGCTGGCAGGGGACGACATCGGGGCAGGGGATGACAGTGGAGAGGAAGAGCCTGTCCCAGCCCCATCTGCTGGAAGCCCCATTCTGTCAGAAAATAAGGTATTAATAACTTTGCCTTCCCTGGCAGCCCGTCTCACACCTAGCAAGAGGAGTGCTTTGGGGCTTTTTGTTGAGGAAGGGAGGTGCCACAAAAGGGGCCTGTGACATCCTGGAGGGAATGCTGGGCCTGAAGCCCTGACCTGAGCAAAGTGGGTTTCAGCACCTCCAGGGAGAGAGTGGGCTGCAGAGGCCAGCGTAGGGGAGGCTCAAAACTTTCGGGCTTTCACTTCGCCACCAGGGGAAGGAGCCGGGACCCAGGGGACAGCAGACGAGCAGAGACTTGGAGGAGGCCACCAGCAGGGCCGGGCCATAGGAGGACGAGGGCCGGCTCACTCTCGGGGGGAGGACAGGGTCAGTTATAGGTGACACAGAAGTCCTGGGGGGGTCTGCCTGGTTTTCAAAACATGGGGGGAAGGGTGGAAGATCCGGACGTTACAAACTAATCCGGCTGACCCCTCCCTGACACGCTCTTCGCTGAAGACATCCTGAAAGCTCTTAATAAAGAAAGCAGTCGGCTGGATTTGCACTGGTAAGCAAGAGCAGAAGTCCACCTTCTGCCGCCAAACGTGTCAAACCCCAGCTGAGCGGACCCTGCCTTCTGCTGAAGCAAATTCCTGGGACCTGGGCAGGAATTCCTGGAAGGGGCAGGCGTTCTGTGGTACATCATAGCCACGGACACGTGCCAGGGAGGGGAGCAAGGTTCCAGCGGGGAAGACAGATCAACGCTGATGCCTTTGGGCACAGAGGCACAGGAAAGGCAAGGCCAACACGAAGCATCTAGCTTAAGCAGCACTGAAATCCTTGTCTCACGCCCTGATGACGCGGGCATCGGATACGAAATTTAGAGAAGTTATTAAGCATTTGTCATTACAAAAGGAGCTAATTCATATATATTATATACATAAATATGGAAAAATATATAGATGTGTTATATACAACATGAACTTCACGTGTTTTACATATAGGCGTTCATGTACCTATATATGTACATGTACCTATATATGTAATTTTTTTTCCTTAAAAACAGCAAATTAGGAGTATGGCAATCAGGGCCAGCCACGTTAATTCGTGGGGCCCAGTCCAGACTGGAAACGCAAGGGCGCTTGTTCAAAAACGAGGGCCTTCCAGATGCCAACAGCAGAGCGCTAAGCCAAGCCCCAGGCCACATGCGGCCGCGTAGGTTATGCACCTGTGAAGCCAGCCCCGGCGGTCTCTGCAGAGATGCTGCAGACAAGGTTTACGTCTTCATTCAGGAAGGCCCCCCTGAGAATAAGGACATCTTCATGAAGAAGGATGGACAGAGGCGGGCAGATCTGTGTCTGAGTAACCGTGCCCTGAGGGTGGTGGCTAAAGGGCCACTCCAAACTTGTGGGGACGCCCTGGCCCCCGTCTAATGTGTTTACTGCTGACTTGGATTTACCTGGAATGGTGCCATGCACATAAAGCAAAGCCTCAACAGGATCTGTTGTGTTAGTGCATGAAAGACACAGAAGGCAGGCCTAGCAGATCTATTAAGTCACAAGAGGCTCCAAAGGATCACGGACAATAAACTGCAATGTAGGACCATCCGATAAATAGATTTTGACAGAAATAAAAGAGAAGTTCAAAAGAACTCAGTGCACCTATATGGGATGGAGAACACCTGGCCGAACAAGAATCTACACACGAGACGGGGAGGGACAGTAGTACAGCTTCCCAGAGCGCGGCACTCCTATGATGGCTCTTTGGCAAAGAACGCACCAGAACCATTCCACCCCAGGCCAACCAGACCACAGCTGAAGTTCTGTGCCACCTCTAAAGGAAAATCTAGCCAACGAATGTGGCTCTGCAAAGTGTGTGTGGCAAATGCTGATGGCGGGCCAATTCCTAACCCCCGTCTCTCTTGCTGGCCTGTGCCACGGAGACTGGACAAATCTAAATCCTTGGCCTGAAGCTAGGGGTGATCAGGTAACATCTCCTGGAGAAGCTGACATCTACGATGAAGCTTTCAGGAAGGCGTATCCTTTCTCGATAGGAGGGACAGCTGGCCTGGACCCTCCCCTGCCCCTGGTTTCTGGCTAGCGGCCCCCATGAGGAAACAAGCCGTACGCTGGGTCAGCAGGGCTGTCCAAGAAGACAGAAAGAGCCTGATCCGTCTGCCCTCGTTGAACCACTGCGCGAACCCCTCGTGGCCCCACCGCAGGACCAGCTACGTTTGAGAAACACAACCTTGTTTGTTCATTAGGTCTTCTGTTCCTTGCAGCGGAAAGCTTTCCAATTCAGACAACCTATCAGGAGGGGACGGATAGAGAACGCTGGAGTGAACACACAGACCAGATGCACAGAGGACCGGAAGGCAAAGTAGAGCCGGAAACGAGGGTGACGACGGAGTAGCCTGTATCCTAAGGCTTGGCAAACGCCTGCTCAAAGAAACGGGCCCAGATGCCGTCAGGCCTTAGCAAGCAAGACCCACTCTGGCTGTGGGGGGTTGGAGGCTGCTATCGCTCCCAGTGAGATTTTTCTAGTTTCCTTTTTACAGTTTGCAAGAGGACGTGTTTCCGAATCCAGTTTGTTTCTCTTCAGTTTCCAAGTGGATCTCACTCTCGCCAGAGGCAGACCTAATGCTGCACGGCGCCACCTCAATGGCCTCTCTGCAGAGACGAGCAAGATGAAGCAAGTGCTTCAGTCAAGAGGGGAAAGCCTCACCTCCCCCATTTCTTCTTCTCCTCGGGCAGAGGAGTCTCTGGAAGCCCTGTTGCTTTGATGGGATGCTGCTGTAAAGATGTACACGGAAGCTTTGTGCTAGCAGTTAAGTGAGAAGGGAAATTCTCCGTTGTTATCAGTCTCCGCCCCTTTCTAAAACCTTCACTCAGGAATGGAATGCTTAACCACCCATTTTTAACAAAACCCTGCCTCCTCTGAGGCACAGGTAGCCCGGGCCTTCAAGCTTTGTCTAAGCAACGGTAGAAGGGGAGGAGAAAGACCCCAGGGAAGGAATGTGAAGACCGTCCAGACAGACAGACAGACAGAGGCGGAGACGAAGTGGGCCTCCAAAGGTGTTTAGACATCAAATTCCCACACGTGGGTACCTCACTCAGAAATGTGTCAAAGTGTGGATAAAACCATTGCCTCACTGCAACATACCCTGAGAATGAGGTGTTTCAATTCATCATCTGACAGAAAAGTTGGTTTGTAGTTCGCTTCTGTGTATGGATTGGTGGCACCTGAGGGAGGGGAAAAAAAAAAAAAAGAAAGAGAAAGAGTTGGTACCCTTTCTACCCAGGTGATGTCTCGTTCCACGTCACTGCCTCCAACCTTCCAGATGTGGCCAAGTCCCTACCACCCGGGACTGCAATCTTATCTTCTTTTTCCTCAACAGACACAGGGGGCTAGAGGGGGCTTCAGACAGAACCCACCGTTGCCCACGGGGGACCTGACGAGTTTGCTCTGGTCACTGTACAGGAGCCAAGAGGTAACAGACGGAAGTAAAAATCTGTTTCCACGAGAGAAGGCAGCTCTGGAAACCAACCCGCAGAGGCTCCCGGAAGGGTCCCCTCCTCCCAGGATCTACATTAAATGGGTTGTCTAGCAGTCCCTCAAATCCACGCTCCCAGCCTGCCTGGGAAATCATCCAGTCTGCCAGGCCCTGACTAAGTGAATACATTGTAGAAGGCATCTAGTGGGAGTTCTTCATCAGGGTGAGGCAACAGAGCTTGGCACTCCTTCCGTGAGCCACGCTGGCTCCCCTAGCACGGAAAGGGGACATTTAAAAGGCCGTCAGTCTGGCATCTTACAGAACAAGGCCAGCAGCGAAGGACCTGGAATCTGCAGAATGGTTAGAACAGCGAAGCAATAAAATGGAAAAGATCCGTAACCATTCAAAGTACCGTAGCGAAGGAGGGAGACAGGATGGGTCTGGGATTTTCAGATCAACCAACAAGGCACATATGGAGCCGCATCCCTGTTCTTTACGGTAACTCGACGTTTGTCACTCGTTTCCTTCCGCTTTAATAAGACTTAGCTTCTAGTAATCGAATCTCTATCATCTTCACTAATAGGAAGCTTTAGATGCCATTCTCACAGCACAGGACATAACATGGCCATGTCTGAATAACACTCAGAAGTCAGACAAAACCGACCACTTCTTATTTCTGGTGGCTTTGTGGAAACATAAAGACTCAAGTCTTTTACCACGCAGGTCACAGGTCTGACTAAGCACCCGCTTTCAAATTTCCTCGGACGGTGGTCTAAGACTGGCTATGGGAAATGCCAGGAACAGCATTCGCTGAAGTTGCCCGATACACCGCAGATTCCTCCTGTGGTTTGGGTAAGTCACTTCCACATTTCTGCCTGTTTTCTCACCCGCCCCACATTCAGAGAAGAAGGAAAATTCTGCCTCCCTCACAAAGAGTCTATCTGGCTTGGGAAAATTCCAGGAACATGAAAATATCATCAGTGTTCATCCCTGACAGTAAAACGCAGCAAGAACCATCAACCAGTGACTCACTCTTTAGAGGAGCCATGAATTCTCCTCTTCAAAACGGAAACGGACTTTTCTGTGTCACACTGTATGGGTGGGGTCCAGGCACACACATATGCCAAATGGACATCAGCAGTGCCCTCTTTGACGTGCGTGTAGCCTGATTATCATGTACACATGCAGACATGTGCACAGAGCACAGCCTCTACCCGTCACGTCTATTGCTGGAAATTACACGCCTGTTACTCAAGGCTACACATTGGCCAACGACTGACAGTGCCTTGGGGACTCGGGAACATCCTAGGCCAGGGTGCTAAAGTTTCTGGGCAAAGGCATGAAGAATAAAGCCCCGGGTCTCACCTCGTAATGTTTTCATGTGCTGAACAGCCATCCTTAGCACAGTGAGTTTATCTAATTTCCTGGACATGGCATTGCACGTAGGTACCAAAGACGCCAATTCGTCAATAAAACTGTTCATTTTGTCCCGACGCCTCTTTTCAATCTGGCTGTGAGCTTCCCTGAACAACAACAGGAAAAATGATTTCTATAAAACGAAAACGAGCCTCACGGAAGCGATGACAAAAATAAGTTAGAACTGCTTTCGACATTGGCCGGACTGGGGCACCTTTAGAATTTGTAGTGTTTTGAACTAGACTTTTCTACTGAAGTCACCAGAAACGTGGCTTCACTGCCAGGTCAGTATTACTATTTTTTGTGCTTAGCTCATATTCAGAGACATAAAGAAATGTCTTCTCAGAGTTAACTCTACTGCTCATTTCTCATTTCTTTTCCTCTTAGTCTCGGTCAAGTTGGATTTTAAGACGGGTGTAGAAGGAAAGCGAAGGGAGGTGGGGGGTGCAAAGAGCAAAGCCTCCAGCACAGCCACTGGGGGCATCCTGTGGTCCCTGGGTGATCGCTGGGGTCTGTGAAGACCCCACCGTGCGGCCTGTCAGAGACTCACTGACCGAGTCACCAGGTAACGGACGCTGCCATCTTTGGACCGACGATGACCCCACCAAGATACAGCAGATGCCACATCTGTCCCAGGAGCTTCCTCTGAAGGCTGTCACACTCCCACCTCCCAGGAGTTGCTGCCTGCCGAGGCAGGAGGGCGCATTCACGGGCACACACGCTTTCCCTGACTGGCTTACCCCTGGCGTTTGGGACTGTCCCCCGTGGCGGCATATCAGCAGTGGAAATAGAGTTCGCTGCCAGAGCAACGGGGCCACCAAGCAGGACCTCCCACCAAGGCTGGGCTGAGAGGGGAAAGCTACCAGTCTCGGGTGAGTGCAATTCTGCAGCTCCGATTCTGTGTCGTGACACAGCCTCGGATGGCCCCGGGGCTACTGCAGGAGAGCGGAGGGCCCACACGGATGGGGTCAGCGAGCATGGCTAACGGCACAAAGGACCGAATTAGAGAACCTCCTCGAGGGAGCAGGCAGCCCCCACGCCTGGCCTTGCGGTGCAACACTGGCTGCTTCGCGGGGCAAGGCCCAAGAGCAGAGTCACTGGGCCCGGTCTCTTTGGGAGGGCCCTCCGGTCAGCAAGGGGCAACCCGCTGAAGACGGTGGAGGAAAAGCTTCAGCCTTAATGGACTTCCTGCTACTTCCCAAGTCCCCTTCACGTGAAACGCACTTCGAGAGCCAGGAGTGAAGTATGGAGAGGGCGAGGGGCAGGCAGTCACATCAAGCCAAGGCCCCCACCCCCTTCCGCATCTCCTAAAGGATGCTTAGACGGACTGGGACCAGACACAGAGCCGCCTCGGCGGTCCTCAGAGGGCCCAGAACCAGGACAGTTTACAGGGAGAAAGAGGGTCCACGCTTACCTTGTTTTGGGTTTTGTTTTTAAATACTTTTTGGTTTTTAAGTTTATTTTTATTTATTTTGAGAGAGAGATAGCAAGCAGGGGAGGGGCAGAGAGAGGAGGAGACAAAATCCCAAGGAGGCTCTGCACTGATATGGGGGTTGAACCCACAAACCAGGAGATCGTGACCTGAGCTGAAATCAGGAGCCAGATGCTTAACCGACTGAACCACCCCAGGTGCCCCTACCTTGCATTTTTGATCCTTCCTTGGTGCTCTGTATATTCTAACCTGGAGGTGGGGGAAGAAAAAACAAAAGATAAAACACAATCCCTGGGAGACTAATGGCAAAGTTATACAGCTCTGTTTTCTTCCCAGTTGAATTCATTTCCCTGCTTAATCCTGCTCATCTCTCTCAACACACGAGGGCTCTTGGCTGTTAGCCACTCTGGGGGGCTGGGGGCTGCGGAGACCATCTTGAGCTCCCAGGCTCAGAGGCTCCTAGTTTATCCCCAGTCGAGGACATGGGTGAAACCCACACCAACTAACACAACATGTAATTATATAAAGAAAATGGCTATAAAGGATGAAGTTCATGACTAGGTTCATGGTACCTTCCGTGAGGGTCATCTTTGTCCGTGTCCATGCTTTCTCTGAAAAAATGAGAGAACATAACTATTTGTTAACAAAGACATACAAAACTGTTTCTTACAATATAGAAGGCTCTCATTTATCCAGAAACTAAGTAATCAGAAAGCTCAAATAGCCAGTGTTGACTATCGACTTAGAGTCCAACAAAGACAACTTGAACCTACTACACAAGGACCGCTTCTCCAGAGTATCAAGCAAAAGTTAGGTGTAGTCTCAGAAGAGTTTGCATGTCAACATCTTTTACAACATATTTTGAACATCGGGAATACACAGCATTATGGAAATTCTTAATCAGAGTATCCAAATAACTATACTACCTCCTTCCCCTCATCGTTCTGGATAAATGGAGTTCATTCATTTGCAAAACATACCAAGCCTCAAATATACGTGTGCATACATATATATTTGGGGGTGGTGGTGAGGTGAAGAGGGGGAAACCAAAGTACCCACAAAGAAGCACTGAGCAGAGCCCTCAGGCAGCTTTTCAAAGGCACTGCTACCCAATGTTCTGGTTCTCAGCAAGGTGGGGAACCCCCAGGTCCGAGAAGCTGGGATGTAGGGCAGGAGTGGGGCTGAGGGTCCTGGGTCACCAGCAGGGATCTACCTCCCTTTCAGAGACTCCAGAGATCCAAGTTTCAGGGCACCTTGTGGTTCGGTAGAAAACAGATGGAAATCCTCCAAGGAAGGAGTTCCAAATCCTCCTGGGGTGAGCTCACACCCTTTTCCAGCCCCTAAGTTTACCAGGAGGGCACTGACGAACACCTGAGCTTCTCTTTTTCTTGTATCCTATTAAGAACAGAGGGATGTGGCCCTTCAAACAATGTAGTCTCAAGGGCAAAAACAACTTTCCCAGGGGCACTGAATCACACTGTGGGCATTCTAGAACAGTGGTCCAACCAGGAGCCCTTGATTTCCTCATGGGCAGGGAGTTTCTGTAGCTAGTCCTAAAGCTCAGAAGCAATCATTCAGGCCACGGAGCAAAACGAAAACTCCCCCTCCCTTTTTGTCTAGACTCATGTGTGGTCATGGAGGCCCAGATGATCATCCCAGGTGAAGAGAGCTCCGCCTGACCGATCAGACTTTAGCACATTCAAATTACAGGGAAAGGGATCATGGGTGCCTAATGGGGTCTCCATGAATCATCGAAGATTTGTAAACAGGGTGCATGAGGGAAACCTGGAGGTCTCGGGTGGGGACAAGGTTGGAAACCACAGGTTGAGAGAGCAGAAGTGTTAGAAGGCACCAGTGACTCTATCAGCACTTGCCTTAAGACAAGTGGTCCCTAGAGAGCGTCTCCTGGCCTCCCTGCTGGGAGTGACTACACCCTCTCCGTACTCACACCCACTCTCCATCCCCTGGGCGGTTGCTTGCTCAATCATCTGGGGTCACTTACATATTAATCATAGCACCTCCTAGTGGGCATCTGACCTTCAGCCACTGTGCTCCCCAAATTCGACCTGTGAACTTCAGCAGAAAGGACATCTGCTGTAGGGGAGACACCTCCTTGGAGATTTTCCCTCATTAAACAAAAGAAAACCTCTTAAGTGGACATTTGGATGAGATTCCACACAGTTGCCTCAACAAAACAAAACGTGCCTTTGAGTGTTCTACGCAGCACCCTACTGCCTGGGGGTTTGTACAGATAGAGAAGAGTCGACTGGAAGTGTGCAAATTTACTTACTCAAAAGAAAAGTCATCAAGTCTAAAAAGAAACAAAAATACTATTTAATATAACAGGTACATACTAATTTAAATAATGTTTCAGGACATTATCAGTGTTCCTACAGTGTTTTGGGAGAGGACCTGTACTTATTCCTTCTACAAACACAATGAAGCGGCTGAGGTCTTCCTCCGAGAGAGGCCCTCCGGCAAAGTTCTCTTTGAAATCACCGAGATTACATCCATAGGCTTAGCCAGCTTGCTCAAAGGAGCGAAGGATGACGAAGGAAGGGGTAAAAGACCTAACTCGGCTTTAAGGTTCTTCCTTTTCCCTTGACGTGGAACAGTGTGGGGACAGGAGGGGGTTCGTAAGTGCCTCAGCAGTGCTGGAGGCTGCCTCCTGCTGACAATCCACAGGGAAGAGAAAGAAA